TATGGCATGCACGACTATGAGTACCCCCCCCCCCCGCGTACTCTACACGGATCGGTTTGCCTGATAAATCACCATCAGGTTTAAGATCAGGCTGAATAGGTGCCAAGAACGCCCCTATGGGCCTGCTCGAGTAAGAACCGTTTCCGAAAAAATGTCTGCTTAATAGGTGTCCAAGAACCGCGATAGCACTTTCACTATAGACAAATGTCATTGTACCCCGCAAGCTGAGCCTTTGGTTTCGTTCGAATGGCCTTAGCGTGAGACCTTGCGACATCAACGGCCGTGCTGCAAGAATGCTGTCGTGGATCGGCCCCGGGGATGCAGCGTGTTGACCATCTGCAATAAACCTTTCTAAATCGTCATGTGATGTTGTGTACCGCGAGAAATAAATTGCTTTGGCACCACACAGTCCCTTGCGCTAGAGCCCCGCTGCGGGTATGCTTGCCTCTGCATGAGCTGTGCCCATCTCCATCTTTGAAGTGTGGTCTCGTCCTGGCCGAATTCGGTTAAACTTGTTTTTGCGCACCCTCGTTGTGTATGGTGATATCGTCAGAGACCTCCAAACATGTTGCACAATTAACTGATTTGAGTTCAATGTTCTCTTGTCGCCCCTGGCTGCCGCGTTTGTGTTGGTGCCCCCCTACTCCCACGTGTTTGAGCCACCTCTGGAACGTAGAAAGGAACAATTGAGCATCGGTGATCGGTCCTGTGGGAACAATGCTCCATCCTCTCGAGGACGCGTGGTCAATGCTCTAACCGCTAAGGCATGCAAAACATAAGAGTACGCCCCCCCCCTCCTACCTCCGTGTTCTGCCCTCCGCGATGATGGGTGTGCTCGTGTGGGCGCGCCATGCGTCTTGTCTACCCCTTGCCAGTGCGAGACGCCCCAGCAAGACCGGTTGTTCGACGCCAACGACTTGACCGCGTTCGAGGAGGAACTGGATGAGTGAGGAGACACCAATTTGGCCGCCCCATATGTTCACGAGCCTTCAATGCGTCAATTCGGTCGCCTAAACGTTTCTATGACGTTTCTGAGAATAAACGCGCCATCGAGAAGCCAATCATGTTTCCTGAGTTGAGGCTTGCATATGTATACACGCAGGCTGTGCGGGCAACTAACACGTTGACGATGCGCCCAGCGAACCCAAGGAATCCCGAAAGGAAAAAAACGTCCCCTCCGCCCCACTCGTTTTTTGGTCCAGGATTGACATGTTCTCGAACAAAGTCGCTCCTAGCTACGGAGCGCGGGAGTCGCTCCGCCTAAAGTACGCTCGGTGAGTCGATGATATGTATTTGTCGCTCAGAAGATTGCATTACTTTCTCCTGGATGATGTGTCCAAGGTACTTGACGATAGGAACAATGTGGTGGCTGGCTTGTTTGCCTTTCTCGACTACTGGGGCGTTTATTTTTCATGTCTTGCCGAAACAAGGTCTCGAAATGCGGCGGGGAGTCTGATTCGTGTCGGGGATGTTTACTGCCGTCTGGGCGGTGTGTGCTCTTCCTACCGTTCCTTCTCGCGGGCCTTGCTTGTGCGGTCGCGTATTGGCGCGGAGAGTTGCGCTTGTTATGTTCTGTTGCTGTTGCTTCTCCTCCGTTCCAAGTTTGGCCTGAGACTGGTCTTGTGTGTCTAGCCGGCCCTGTGTTTGTGTCTGAAGGTGGGCAGCCCTTAAGCCTGCAGCGCTCGGTAGCACCGGTTCTTCGCTTGTGGTAGTTCTTATCGAGTCGGAGTACGCACTGCTGAAACATTGTGTGTGTTCAGGTTCCACCATTGCCTCAATAGCTGCCCGAGGAACACCCCCCGGCATAACGTCGACGCATCCATTTTTTGGGCAAGACACAAAGATGTCCAAACAATGGAATTGTTCGGCGGGCTGATTGTGCCATGCTGATGTGCCGAAAGCGTTGAAGAGCCTCACCATCACCGATTGTACAACGGTCGTGCTCCGTAACGACAGTCGCGCTCCGACCGTGTGCAGGTACACAAGCTGATGCATCGAGATCTGACACACATGTGATGCCGCAGCCATGCCAAAAATGCGTGAATGAGGCACACGTGGGTGGGCCTACCATCGTGCTGAATTACGTTTTGTGCAGTAGTTCCTGCTGATAGCTGCAAAACGCCTCAAGTTCTAGATACGACACGACCCACTGAAGAGGAATCATTTTGTAGGCCCTGATTAACAGTTGTTGTCCCGATGCCGATCACGACCGCACGCATACCCCGAGATCGACCGTCTTTGTTTTTGGCCTGCATGTCGTGCCTGGCGATCGAAATTCATGGACGCAGCCATGCTGAAGACTTCGCAACAATGGAAGAAGGAAAACTGACTGCTGGGTCCTTCGGTTTCGCCAGTTTCGCCATCGTAGGCGGCCTTGCGGTGGTTGGTAAGACGGGATTTACTAAGTCTACTGCAGAATCTGATTCTTACCTAGCACAAGCTTTTTTTGTTATCTTCACGACTTCCTCGTCGCCGTGTAGCGCCCATGCATACCTAGCTTTGCGGAAGCTCACTCGCGTGAGTTGGACGCATGTCCGATATGCGATTTGACGTCCAATTTTTTCGCACTAGCGCGTACCCCCGCGGTATGCAGGAAACTGCCATGGGTTGCATGGGTGTGAACTTACTATTTGTAAGTTCGGCGGGTGGAAGTCGCCATCGACGTGGCCCAGCACGCCCCGGGAAGGTGCCGTCAAGGCGCCAACCACTTGGTCGTGTCGTTCCTCTGGAGACGGACGTGCACACGCGCGCGTTGCGCTCTACCCACACGGAGCTTAGTCTACCCTGCAACCTGTTTTCGTAGGTGTCGCTTTGCCACGGGAGTCGGCTAACGGATGCTCGTTGTGCATACTGTGTATCGTTGAGCACCTGGTTTACCCTTATTCGCCGATGGACACCATCAAGGGTGCTTGATTCCGCAATCATTCGACACTTTGGCCTTGTGGGCTAGCCCGAACCACGCCGTTCACCGCTCGCCCCCTACCCTCCTTGTGTGTTTTTTTGTTTGTTTCGTGGGTTCGGCAAACTATTATACCCGACCCCCTGTCGGCGTGTTGTGCTGAGCCCCCCTCTAACCACGCACTTGCTTCGTCGCCCCCTGGTCAGTTGGTGGTACCGTGCTTGGCGGCTTTACTTGGGCGTGCCGGGCTTTCATGAACATGGCACGGGAGGTGAGCGATCTCGCAGAGGATTCCCCTGACGATGCCGTACATGCTTTCGACGGGAGTGCTGTCTCTGTTTGATGCTTGCGGTGCTGCTGTTGTGGTCCGGCCATCCGTCGTCGTGGTGGTGTTTATTGTCGATAGGTTCCTCTCCTGACCTGTCTGAAAGGTGAATGACAGAGTTCTGCACAGCAGCAGAGTTCCCCTTCGGCTCTCCAGGAGGGCGCGGCTGCTGCTATTTATTAAGTGGTTGTTGCCCTGGCATTGCTCTCGTAATCCTGGCTGAAGCGCATATGTTCGTCCTGAACGCATGTCCTTCCATGCGTTTGACTCGTGTCAGGAGAAGTATATGTTTTTGTGTTTTGTGGGTGTTGATGTCTCGACTGCGTTACGTTGCCTGTGTGCGGCTGGTGTTTTGTTCACGAGCAACAAGGTCGGTCTTCTATTTGCTCACCGTGCGAGCGCTTTAAGTGAATGTGTGGCCCACGGCGATATGTGGTGTATTGTTTCTGGCGTTCTTGGCACACTCCCGTACGCACCGACTGAACCTTTTACCGCCCAGTATAGACGAGCAAACTCTTGCTTCTCTTTTGCGAGTGGGAACGAACATCGCGGCGACTCTTCTACGCTGCTGCTGTGAAAATGCGTGTAGAGAACCTCATATTTGTTCACCCGTGCCTTGTGCTACTGTAGTCGTCAAATCACACACAACACACGAAACAAGACTGGACTCTTCGACGCGATACAACGGATTGCCGCGCCGCGAAGAACGTTGCTTCTGTAGGCTTCAGCTCGAGAGTCTTGCAGAATATTGCCGGAATCTGCGCACCCACGCGGAGTTTGCAGTTTCGTTTGTCTCGTCCTTTGTTTTTTTTTTCGTTTTCGCTCCAGTGCCAACTCAAAGCACTGTGCAACTCTATGCACCTGTGCTGCACCAGCCGTGGCAACACGGTTCTATTCAATCGCCCCAACTGGCCGCATATTCAGGAGTGGTTGCCTTGCTCGCAGCTTGTTCGGACCAGTCCGTATTCACTCACCACCGCCGGATGGTCATGTGAAAGCAACATTGGGCTCTGGCTGCAACCTTTTCTTTCTTGCGTCTTCGGCAGCGTTTGTCGATTACGACCGGGTCGATTATCAAAATGTTCGCGCACCGACCGCCGTTTTTTTTTTTTGTTCTGTTTGCGTGCTTTGTTTTGTCTCGCTGAGCAGGAGGAAATTTTCCTCTACGGGGAAGAGATCAGCGTTGACGCCACCGAAAAGCCAGACGAGGTGCGTCTGTTCCGACACTTTTCAAGTTTTGATCCATTCGCAGCAGCGCATGAACTTCACAATGATATGTTCTGCCAGTTCTCCGGCGGAGTTGGACTTCTTTTCAGAGTTGGAAACCCACGCTGCCGTGCATGCCTGTCCTAGTGCTAGAGATTGCTCCGGCAGTCTCAGTATGTAGTGGTCCGGTCGTGGCGAACAGCTGTCGCTAGTCGAAAGACGTCGATCGCGGGTCGGATTCCCTCGAATTTGTATTTCAACAATAAATAAAATAGATCCCCAACTCCGAACCCTATCCACAACCAAGTTTGTGTGTTGGGCATTATCCCCAATGTATGCAACGCGATCGCACACTGTCATTCCTAGGCTTGAAACGTGTTGCAATCTGAATGCAACCAGTTACCTTTGACGCGCCCCCGAGCTTTTGGGTTTGATGTGGCGCAGCTGCGTGTCACCCGACAGCGCTACTGTCATTATGCCGTCAAAGTTAGGAATGTGAACACCCCGCGTTTGCGACTTGGGGTATGTTCTGTGTTGGGCTCTCGTGATGTTGTGTCTGCCTTCTGCCCTTCGTTGGTTCGGCAAGGAACTGGACGATCTGGACGAAGACTTCGACCTGGATGACGATGACATGGAAGACTACAGCGCACCTGGTTCTGCATCCGGGGCTGGAGGCAACCCTCCCCCCCCCTCGACGCCTCCTTCGGGTAGTGGGGCCGATGGGGATGCCGGCGGTGCCGACTCGAGTGGAGATGACCTGTTGGGCATGTAATGTGCGGGCGCCATCGCAGGCCTGGTTTTGGTACTGTACCCCCCTCCCGATGGCCCGATGGCGTGGGCCACGCGCGGAATAGCGTTGATGATTTCGCAACAGCACGCTGCTCTGTTCAGCGGAAACCCATGCTGGTTTTTGTTGCCTTGCAGAGCGAAGGGATGCCCCTTCATGTGCCTCTTCAGACAAGCGATTGGCAACATGTGGAGACCGAGAAAGCAGCCGAAATTCCACCGATTCCCTCCATGAGGTCTGTCGCACTCATTTAAAAGATTGAGAGGTTTTTGCCCACTTTGACTCCTGAGCGTGAAGTACAAGGAAAGCAGTCGATCCGGGGATGGCTAGCGGCTTTCAGGCGAGTCGTTCGTCCGGCGTTCGTAGAGATGGTCCAAATATTGTTCCGATCGAGGGCAGAGGTTTGTGAAGCTGCTGGCAACGTGCATGCAAACCTCTAAGAAACTGTATCGTACCAATGTTTTCAAGCCCCCTACGGGATCGAGTTTCTGTCCCCACAAATATGCCCTCTGAATACAGCAGTTCTACGCTAAATATCTAGAAAACACATATTGGAAGCAGCCTTTTCCCAATTGCAAAGAAGGGTCTCAGTTGGGGTCTCGTCACAATAGAAAAGCACCATCAATAGTGTAGGTATATGACACGGAAAATCGTCATTAACACATGACAACGAGTAGCTCTATGCTCACGAAGTTCCGGGCCGTGCCTTATTGGCGGTGATGTAGGGTGGTGAAAATGTCCCAAGCCCGAAGTCTAACGGCTAGCCTCGTCGAGTTGACTGAATGCCGCCGGCCTCCGTGCAACGGAAGTTTAAATCAACGTGATTCCAGACCGCCGCATAAAATCCAAGTCATATTTCAGGCAGGGGGCGTACTCTTATGTTTTGCACGCCTTCNTTAGACCATTGACCTCGCATCCCTACAAAGCCGGGACGGAGCACGCCGGGTTCTCACCGGACCAGGCTCTCACATCACCAAGCGCGAAGCGCCGTGAGATATTCGGCGAGTCGCATGAAGGGTGCGCTGCATCCTGCTGAGGGTGTTCGGCATCTTGAACTTATTTCCTTGCCTGCGGATGACAGCTGAGTATGACTTAATTCATTTTCTGGTGCATTCACTTCCAGAGACAGTTGTAAGCGCTGTGTAACTGCGTCGAGGGTGCTTGACCAATTTTATCACGACGTGCGATTATTCCCTTTGCGCGGAGTGGGAGTTCTCGATCCCGCACAACATAATCTATTTGACCACTATTCATGGTTACCGCAAACCGAAGGCAAAAAACCCCACGGTAACCTGGTTGCCGAGCTCACGAAGTGATCGGCTTGTTTTACAACATCGCTGCCAAGCGAAGAATACCCAATCCCGATAGTAAACACCGGGGCATGCTTCAGGCAGGGGGGGAGACAAAATTTCGAGCGCTAACCATAAACCGAGTCATATTTCAGGCCTGCAGGAAAGATCAACGGCCTTGTTTTTTCACCGCACACATCAAGTCATTTGGGAGTGCCATTCAACAACCAAAAGTCAAGTCTTGACACCGGTTTCTTCGCACTTCAACGCGTCGTTATGCGCGTTGTGTACATTATTCGTGCTGAACCGCGATGCTCGCGGCTTACTCAACGGCTACAATGGAGGCTCGCAAATCGATGTTGGCCGGTTTCGAAGGACCTCGACACACCAAATCTAGTTTTGCATCGGATTGATGTTGGGATGTGGTTAGGAGGGATAGGTGGTTTGTTGCGCCGTGGGCATGGAAAGGTTGAGTTGGCGTCAGTTCAATCAGGGTGCGTTGTTCGAACCTTTGGTTTGGTTTCTTCGGGCCCGATCGGGTCGCTCAGGTGGTCTTCGGGGGGCCGGCCGTCTTCGTCGACCCTGCCGTTATGGCTCTTCCGTCATTCCTTTCCGTCGCCGTCAAATCCCGTTGTGTGTTGGAGAACAGGCAGCTCCGCCAAGGCGGGCCGAGGTTGGAAAATCTTGTGTATTGCTTCACTTGTGGTGCCTCAGTATAGCTACTGTCTTCTCCTGGCTATTGCTGCCTCAAACATCTCTCTGTACTCCGAGCATAGATAGCCGTGTACATTTCTCTCTCCTTGTACAACGGGCATTCCGCAACTGCATGAACCTGGTCGCCCTCGGAGCCGATTCGCAATTGAACTCGTCGTCACCGTCTACCTTCCAAAATCTCCGTCTACGTCGTCAACGGCTGTGTCCCCAGTCCTAAATTTGACCTTCAGCTTGCTCCCTGCATCCATCGGTTCATGTAGGTTCTCCTTGAACCCTGTTCCTTTCTTCAAAACGTAGTCTGATTCCTTTGGTTAGTCTAGGTTTGTTCTTTTTCTCTCTCGGCAGGAGCCACGATATGGGAGGGCGGGCGGGAACGCCGTAGCCGTTTCACCACCTCGCTCGTCGCATCCGTACAAAGTCGGGACGGAGCACGGTGGACGTTCACCGGAACAGACTAGCACATCACCAAGCGCGAAGCGCGGTGAGGTATTCCACGAGTCGCATGGAGGGTGCGCTGTGTTCGTGGGTCTGCGAGCATTGGTGTTGGATACATGTGCTGGATTATTTGGTGGCACGCAGACTGGCAAGATTGCCGTTTGGTAGGGGGCACCGCGATTATTCACGGGGCCCCTCCTTGGTGTGGGAGCCGCTCTTGGAGCACTCCCTCTTTCGTCCGTGTGAAGGACGGTCGTCTACCTCTCGTGAAGTTAATACCTCACTGCAACAGTCTGACCCGATAAAAATGTGGCGTAGGCCGCAAACACTCTAGATCTAGAGTGTTTTGCCCCTCGAGGGAAGCCACATTGGGAGCTGGGCTGGAGACGAAGGGCGCACTGCTGCGAGCGGAGAACAGATCCGCCCGCCGGTGCAGGCGGGCAGCGATGCGGAGCTTGCAAGTTTGCAACTGCAGGTCTCACGATTGGCGGCCCTGGTGGAGAAGTCGATGAAGAAGAAGGAGCCTGGCAGCGTCGCGGCGGATGCAGCCAGTAGGGGCGGCTGGGTTGCTGCCCCCGAAGGCCAACAAGAGCCCCTGTAAGCGCCCGGCGGAGGCGGGGGATTTCTCCAGCAGCAAGCGAGAGATGGTGGGCAAGGACCACGGCAGCTGCTGGAAGGCGGCTGGGCCAGCAGATCGGGAGCGAATCCTGCGAGACCAGCCGGAGTGGGCCCGGGCATAGGACCGGACTACGGGGAAGCGAGGGGGTTACCCCCCCCAGGTAAGATACCCGTGGTTCGAGGAAATGGAGAATTCCTCGACGGCTACAGCAGTAGCCACATAAAGGGAGTAACAGTCAATGCCCCGCGCCTCGAAGGGGAGCGTCGCGGCCATGGGTGTGACTCGTGAAGAAAGTCGCGTATCCAAGCGGCCAAGACTGTAGGACTGGACGGCTAATTGATCGGCAACAACGAGAGACATACACCTGCCGGCAACCCTAACGTGCCAAGCTCGGAGCTGTACCGCCTCCAATACACCAGCGACGAGGTCCAGAGGGGCCTCCAAGCGTTCCATTTTGTGACCACTGCCATCGTCAGAGAAGCCGACAAGGCGATCATGAACAATTGCGAGACCGCAAAAGAGATCTTCGCGGAACTCGACAAAATCTACGATCCGGAGTCGCAGGGCTCGAAACAAGCCCTCATGAAGAAAATGTTCAACTTCACGATCCCCACACACAGCACCAGAAACCCCATCGAGCACCTGAACTCGCTCGAGCTGCTGTACCCACGGCTGCGCGAAAAANCATTTTGTGACCACTGCCATCGTCAGAGAAGCCGACAAGGCGATCATGAACAATTGCGAGACCGCAAAAGAGATCTTCGCGGAACTCGACAAAATCTACGATCCGGAGTCGCAGGGCTCGAAACAAGCCCTCATGAAGAAAATGTTCAACTTCACGATCCCCACACACAGCACCAGAAACCCCATCGAGCACCTGAACTCGCTCGAGCTGCTGTACCCACGGCTGCGCGAAAAAGGGCTCAATGTTGAACAACCCTTCGTTCTCGCCC